ATGTCAGAACACCTTTCGTACCACAGCTTCCCGTAACTGCGATGGACGATTTATTGCGACGAAGGCGGAACGTAACTGTACTCTTCTATTACCCCCAATGAACGTGATTACGCACGGACTGTGCTCTTAAGGTTAGCACAGCGTAAGGACTTTCACAGGGAGATCAATGAATTTTTACAAGGGGTAAATGTACTCCAAAAATTGATATTCATGAACTTAACCTGTTGTTAGACAGGCCAGGTCTTCTTAGGGTGAGCGGTAGGCTTCAGAAGACTTCAATACCATTTGGACAAACACATTCAATAATATTAGGTTCTAAGAACCCCTTAACACACTTGATAATAAGAGAAAGGCACAAACGATTGCTACATTCTGGATGTCAGGCCGTTCTAGCGTCCTTTTGAATGCGACATTGGCAGCTAATTTTCTACTCTACAGGTGTAGATTACTCTGGACCCCTTGATAATGAAGGTTGTAATAAGGAAATAGCGAACTGTTTAACAGAACACCAAATCAACTAGCACCTAATTCTCCCTTTCAGTACCACACATTGGAGGGTTTTGTCACAGGAGACACTAAGTTAGCCTATGGGGAATTATAGTGTGTTAACGTAAATCGAAGCTTGTTTAAATTTACATCCACTACCTCTTCCTTCAGACTATCCCAATAACCTCATTTCTTTAATATCAGGTCACTTTCGAGCACATCAATCGGCCGGTTAAAAGGATGTGTTGATCGTCATCAATCCATTCAATATTAAAACCTTTAAACTTCTTTTGTCTTCCTTTTTATTCATTTTTATTGTCAAACTGCTCAATTCAAGACAGACCCCAAATATCCTTTCTGATTCACAACTTTGCCAGAGCAGTAGGCCCTTTTGCTAAATTTGCATCTACGTTTTTGTAATAGTTGCTCTCCGCATTCATGTTTGCCTCCTTCCTGAGATCGTTCTTTGCCCTTACCACCTGAACATTGGTTTCCTTCGCTTCGCTAATCAGAACTGCTTTTCTCTCTAATCCTTGCTTCAGTATCCCTCACTTCCTTTTTTTTCCGGTTTTTTCTTTTTATTCTACCATTATTTGTAGTATGATTGATCCTTTCTTCCAACTTTAGGTACTCTTCTCCAATGGAGGTCCATCTTCCTTCTTGTCTACTTTATGTTTGTAACCTTTCTTCACCAACACTTCTAATGTCGTCTTCTTTGTCTTTCGCTGCTGGGTTATCTATATCTTGTACACTCCCTTTGCATCTGTCTCTAAGATTATACGTCACCTTACTAGTTTTTACTGGGGAATGTGCTAATCCAGTATTGCCTGTTGAACTACGTGTAACAAATTCTAATATACTCCCACCGCCTTTATTTATATAAGGTACTTTCTTTGCCAATCTTCTCAGCTTCTTGAAAGAGGGCAGTCGCTCTTTTAGTACTCAAAGTGGCAGAGATCACGAGGATCAGTATAACACACTGATGCACAATATTGCAATGTGGAAGGCAACGAGAAACCACCACATTATGATATCCCAAGAAAAACAAATCGAACTCAAATAATAGCATCCTCTAGTGTAAAGCACTCAGGAGGTAAATTAGTTCCCCATTCGGATGTCCAGGCTAGAACTACCTCGGGGATGTCATCAACAAGTGCAGGAGGGGAAGGTGCAATATTTCATGAGTGGGAGCGTGGAATGTTAGAACAATGAAGCAAGTAGGGAAATTAGAAAATTTGAAAATTGAAATGAACAAACTAGAATTAGATATAGTAGGCATTAGTATAGTCAGTTGGCTAGAAGCTGGAGACTTCCGGATTGGAGACTTTAGAATAATACGTACAGGATTGATGGAAGGTAATTCGGGGGTAGGAATTGTAATGCGTAGGAAAGTAGGACAAAGTATAGAAAGTTATTTACAAAAAAGCGATAGGATAGTTATGGTTACATTAAACTCGAAACCGGTAAAAACGGTAATGGTACAGGTCTACATATATGCCTACATCATCTCACAATGATGAAGACGTAAAAGCGGTTTATGTAGAGATCGAAGACGTGTTAAGTTTAGTGAGAGAGCAGGAAAACCTAATAGTTGTAGGAGACTTCCACGCAGTAGTAGGTGAAGATAAAGACGGTGAAATAGCAGATTCTTTTGGATTGGACAATAGAAATGATAGAAGAGATAGATTGATAGAATTTTGCGATAAAGATAGCTTAACCATCGCGAATACTTTACTCAACCATCAGGAGGTACTATACGTGGAAGATACCAGTGATTTAGGGAGATATCAGTTAGATTACATACTTGTTCGGCGTAGATTTAAAAATCAAGTGAGACTGTAGGAGTTATTCAATAGCGATTATAACGTAGTAGTTAAGAAGGTCAATTTTAAATTGAAATTTCTGAAAAACAGGGAAGGTAGGAGACGTCTTGACAGAAAAGCTAAAATATAGCGAAACGAGCGATAAGGTACAAATGACAGCGACATAGAGACAAAATGGAACTGCATTAAAACGTGCTTAAAGTCAACAACTACAGATGTATTAGGTCTTAGACAAAACAAAAGTAGGAAACCCTAGATAACAAACGAGATTATACGACTAATAGAAGAATAGCAGAAATACAAATACAGGACAGACGAAGAAGGGCAAAAAAGGTATAAGGCGATAAAGTGGGAATAATTAGAAAGAGTAGAGCAGCTAAGGAACAGTGGATTGATATGAGATGTAAAGAAGAAAAATAAAAATAAAAAAGAGAAAATGAGGAAAAAGCAGATAGGTGGAAAGAAAACTTAGAAAACCTATACGCAGGCCATAAGTTAGGAGATATATTATAAAATAGTGTGGAGATAGATGAACTAGGTTATCCCATAATTAAAAAAAAAAAACAAAGTATAATAAAGGCGCCAGGTATGGAAGGGGTACGGGCGAACATTTTGAAACATGCAGGGCAAGACGTTAGAGATCGCACGTTTAAGCTAGTTAGTCACATTTACGAGACAGGGAAAGTCCCGGAGGATTATAAACGGAACGTGGTAGTAACCACATCTAATAAGAGAGGCGCGGATAGGATAGGATAGGTGCGAGAATTTTAGAACAATTAGCTTAACTTCTTATGCGTCAAAAATCTTAACTAGATTTGTACAGAGAAAGATGGAAAAAAGGAAGGAAGAACTATTAGGGGAAGATCAATTTGAGTTCAGAAAAAATAGAGGAACGTGGAAGGCAATTCTAGCTTTACAGGTAACAATAAAGAAAACGATAGAAAAAGGAAAGAGTGTGTACATACGATTTGTAAATTTAAAAAAAGCTTTTGCCAAAGTTAAACGGGACAGGATGTTAAATATCCTTAAAAACTGAAACAAGTAGAAGAGCGATACATAGTTTGTATAAAGAGCAAAAGGCAGTTATATCAGCAACGTAGAGAAGTAAATATTAGGAACGGAGTCAGACACGAATTCACACTGTCATCGCTACTTTTTAATTTATACAACGAAGACGATATCATTAAAGATAGTACAGCTATGGGGATAAATATAGAGGGGCAAAAGATTAATATGCTTAGATTTGCAGATTATATAGCAGTATTAGCATCTATCAAGGAGTTAGAGATAGCTTCAAACAGTATTGTATGAAAATAAATAAAAGTAAAACAAAAATACTTGTATGCAAGGCAAAAAAAAGTAGGGAAAAAGCGAATATAAAAATAGGAGACGAAAGACTAGAAGAAGTGGCTGATTTTAAGTCTCTAGGAAGTCAGATGTCAGGACGGAAGGAGTGGTAGGGATATGAAGCAGGAATTTATCGCAGGGTTGAGTCGCCGTCAATAAAAAGAAGTCACTTCTATTATCGCGAACGATTAATTTAGAAATTCGAAAAAGATTATTAAAGGTGGATGATACCGTGGACAGAGAAGGTTAGAAATGAAGAGGTATTACAAAGAATAGGACTCTATGGAAGTCAATAAAAAATAGGCGAGATAGATTGGTAGGACACCACCTCAGGCATGAAGGTCTAATCAGACATTAAAGGTAGAAACAAGAGTTAAGAGGAATAGAGGTGACCTAGATTAGATTACTGTTCACAAATACTTAAGGATGTGGGATGTTCTAGTTTTAGGAAAATGCGAAGATTAGCTCAAGATAGGAAAGAGTGAAGGAGCGTGTCCAACCGGTCTTAGGGCTAACGAGTAATATTGTTTTCTATCTTCATAACTTCAAAATCCTTTCCATATGCTTTTCTCCATAAATACTCTTGCAAACTAAGTTGCAATAGAATTAACACACTGTAGTGCTTATAACATAAGGACAACTACTTCCATAAAAAACAACCAGTACTAAAATTAAACAGAATAAAACTACTCAATCACACTATGTTGTTCTGTGTTTCAATCTCCAACTCTTTTTGTAACTTTGCATCTCATTTTACACGGAGCTCAACTTGTTTGAAAGTCAGTTTACTTACAGAAACGATGGATTTTTAATATTAAAATTATTTATTATTTTATGTAACGTTTAAAAACAGACCACGCAAATAATTTAAAACTCAAGCGGATATCGGCAAGGTGTGATAACAGTAACCAACAAACGATTTGGTACAGTAGATAAATGCAAATTATTTGTATGATTTCAAATTCTTTGATATGTTTTATTTTATGATAATCCTTCAAGTACCCAGCATTCTATAATGAATACCTTCGATATACAAAAATAGTGTCCTCTGAATTGTAAACTCTAGAAGTGAATGATCAAAAACTCTCTATATGTCTAGTCATATGAAACGACAATGCTTATAGCTCTTAAAATACCGTTTATTTTATGTAATTTAAATATTTGTAAGAATATATACTGAACAGCACATCATCTCTCTAGACTGGAATTCATAATTAAAAAAGTTAAAAGTTACCTAAAACGATATCTTACAGAAATTACAGAAAAGGAAACCTTATAGTAGCCATTAGCAAAAAAATGAACATAAATAGGCGCCAACAGGTCGACATTGAAAGTAGAACTTACCATTTGAACTTTTCAGGTCCCTATGAATCAATGAAATTGGGGCTCCATTGTGTAAATATTCCATACCACGTGCAATTTGGATAGCCCAGTCAACTAGGACATCAGGTCCTATTTTTCTTCCATTTAAAACTCTACTTAACGATCCCCCGCGACAATATTCAAGAACTAAGCACAAATCAGGTTGCTGTAAGCACACACCCACCAACTGCACTATATTTTCATGCCGTAATAAACAAAAAAGTTTTGCTTCCTTAAGAACATTAGCTAAAGTTACCGAAGTGTCAGTGTCTGAATCTTGTCTAGCAGCCTTAACTGCAACTTCTCGGTTCTTCCAGAGACCCCGGTAAACTTTTCCGAAACCACCCAAGCCAATCACATCATCCAGTTCTATTTCTCTGAAGTCAATTTCAAGAGGGCGAATATCATTAATTATTGAAGTGACTTCATCTACAGGATCGTCATAAGCCACAAAGTTCGCTGGAAATATTCCAACTTTATCACCAATCTTTCCCGTCCACCAGCCTTCATCTCCCGATATTTTGGCATCTTCTGAAAGAACTTCAACAATTTGGCCCTTCCGAAGGGATAACTCATCTTCACCTTGGGCATCATAATCATAGAGAGCTGTTGACAAACATCTCTGAAAATGTCCACGGTCGAAACCAGATGACAAACTAACCATGTCTCCATTGCAGGGCGGTTCCATGAACTTCGGAGGACACTGCTCCAAAAGCGGAGGCATCCGTCAGCACGTCCCTATGACGACAAAGATTGACTCTGGATTTATTACTGTCTCCGCGTGAGTCGTTCTCGATATTTTGCGTGCAAACGATGTAGGTACAATAGGTTCATAGTATCCCCATCGATTAAAATTATTCAAAGTTGAAGCCAGGTGGTCATTAAACATTACTTTAACGTATTATTTCTGTGCTAACCAATCTTAGCAAACGTATCGTTCGTATATTTAAATGATAGTAGTGTATGTACTTCTCGATTTTTTTTTTAACGTACAGTCACTAAAAAATTTACTTTGGTACTTCTTGCCTCACCTCATTTAAAACTGTTTACTGCAGAAAATATCTTTCAGCCATCTTTCTTACAACACATAACCACCTTTTGATTTGGTTGCTAACTGTGAGCGTGATAATCAACCTGTCGTTGTCGCTCAACGTACTGCTCTGCCCTCTACGATAACATACTGCTGCTACAGTAAAATATTAACGACCTCTGTCGTCAATGATTGCATTGTATTACTAAACCTATTGTAAGGTAGCGCCACATACCACTATTCAATGAGTTCCAAACACGCAGTATACGTAAACTTTACATAAAGAAACTACTTTTTCAAAGCTGAAAATTTATTTATTGAATTTCAAATAAAAGCTACAATAAAACTACTTGGAAGGTCGGGACTGGTGAGAGAAATAGTAGGATTTCCAATTATCATAGATTGTTCTTTCTCGAAGTAGACATACATTTTTATCGCCGGTTTGCTGTTTCAGTAACTTTTCAGGATTCTTTTTGTAAAAAGAAGTACAATTGAACTCACATGGATACAATTCACCTATGCTAACATTTTGTCTTACTTCACCTTCAGACATACAATCTGATGATAATCCTGATATACTTTCAGAGCATGTATCTGCGTTGTCTTCGTCAAAAGAAAGTTCCCGTGTTCGTCTATTCCGAGCCCAATTGCAACCTGGACCTTTTTGAATGCCAATTTGTCTGTTGCATCTTTGTTTTGATTTGCATGTGCAAAAATCATAATTATAAACTTTATTATTACTCCGTCTTTTATCAAATAGTTTTTTTTTGCAATTTATCGAATTCGTCTTCAGTGATGTTTGAATTTTGACTGACCTTTTTTCTTCGAAATACGAGTTTGATGTACTCTCTTTGTAAATTTGTTTATTTGTTTCTTTTGGAATTTCTTTAGTTAGTTTCGATGACTCGTTTCTATCCATCTTGTTTGCGGTTTTAGTAATATTGACCTGAATATTTTGACTTATTAAAAGAGGTTTTTTACCTTTTTCCAGCGAAATATTCTCGCACGACAGACACTCTTCGCCATTTGTCGAAATGTCTGTACTGTCTGTTTCTAAAAGAGTGCTAAAGCATTCTACCTCAGAAGTACCTTTAGGGCATTTCATTGCCGCTCGTTTAGATATTTTTGTCGTTTGAATACCAATATTTCTCTTAATTATATCTTCCGTTTTTGCGTTACATTCGTTAAAAGGTTGGTTAATTGATTTATCTTGCAAATCTATGTTAATTAATTCTTTTTCTTCAGAACATTCACAGTAAAATGTGTTCTTTATAATTGGAATTTGAGCAGATTTTGATTTGCACTCAAAATTAGATACATTTTGACTTATACATTTCGTAACAGCAGTACTTTTATTCTTATCAATTTTATTATGGAGTTGAAGTAAGTGAGATTTACATTCGGAATTTGAAAAACTTATCAGTTGTTCTGTACAGGTTTGGAAACTTGCTTCGCAAGCGTTAAGACCGGATGGCACGGTTATGTCGACTGTACATGAATTTAATGAAACACCGGCCTGCGATTCTGCTTCTGCAGTTAATGTAGGTTCGGCTTTTTTGAGTTCCAAGTCTCCCAAAACCACTTTTGTTTGAATTGTTTTTGTGCATTTTGTCTGCTTTTCATCATTTATTTTTACTGTGCAGACAGAACTCGAATGTTTTTCTTGAATGCTCTTTTCCAGCATAACAGTTTCCTGTGCAATGTCATTTTTGGAAATTTCTTGATGCGTACTTTCTGATTCTTCATAATTTATATCATTATTGTTATCAAGGTTTATCGGTAAATTTGTTTGTACTTGTTTAGATTCACAAGAGGTCGGTGTATTAAAATTATAACATGCTACATCATGTGTATATGTCGATTGATCAACACACGCACCCAGTACATCACCATCTTTTAAATTTTTAGAATCTACTACCAAAATATATTTTTTGTCACAAGCTTTACTTCCATCTTCTGTACCGCATACACACAGCTTCAATATCTGTTGATGTGACCCTTTACATGTAATTTTACTCTTATTTATCCTAAAGTTCTCTTCTACAATTTTAGTAACGTTGCTTTTGAATTCACTACTATTCGTACCTTTCAAAACAATCTCTTCAGTTTGTTTTTCACATTTTAGCGGCAATTCTTTGGTTTGGTTTTTTACTAATGCGGTGCAATCGTTTAAATATTGATGAGTAGCATCTTCACTCATTGTGTCATTATTTTCTTGTTTAATAGAAATTTCTGTTGATTTGTCACAATATAAAATATAATTATCTGGAAATATGTTTGGATACAATTTTAGATTAATTGGTTGTTCAGAGACTTCTGAAGACGCCGTTTCAGTTTGTTCGTGAAATTGGGTTGTTGAAATTTCGCTTAATTGTTTTAAATTGCCAATTACATGATCTGATATAATTTTTCTTGGTACTTTATCCATATCGTTCTCTTCTACATAATCATTTTCTTTTGGTTCTAAATAAATTGAAGGCACAGAATGAGATTCTTCGATTTCTTTCAAGAAGTCTTCTAATTCTGCTTTAATTTCTGTTAAATCGACGTTATCGATATTTTGTTCCTTTTGTGATATCATTTCTTTAATTGATACGCTTCTTTTTCTTCTTCTTGTATTTGATATATAAGTTTGATATACATCTACATCTATTTTATTTCTGATGGTTGAATTTGTTTCCATGGTATCATTATCAATATTCTTCACTGGTAGAACTTCATAAGACTTCAAAATTGATCCAACAGTCGGATCTGAAGTTAATGTTTCTATAACTGTTTCCACTCCCAAATTAGTATCTGCCTTCGGATTTGAAGTAGTTGCAATATTTGAAGAAGTTTCTGCTTTTATTTTTTCTGAAGGCTCTTTAAAGTCTTTCTCTTGAGTAGTAATCACAGAGGTATGTTGTATAACTTCATAACAAATATTTCGCAATGGGGAACACGTTTGTACAGTACTTTCAGTACATTTGATTTCAACTGTGGGTAATGACTGTGTCACTAATTCACTTCTAATATTTAATGATGGTAAATGTTGAATTACCAAATTATTATTTTTTCTGTTGCATTTTATTGCAGGACTATTTACGGTTTTCTCAATAACGTTTTCTTTAGAAGAACCTCCACAGCATTCTATCGCTTTATTTGTAGTATTTACGTAGATTCCTTTTATAGCGGAATCTTTCATTAAAACCCCAACTTCTCTGGCGGTTCTCTCGACTTTATAATTACATTCTTTTGTTTCATTATTACAGTTATAGAACACATTGGGCAATGCAACAGTTATGTAATCAAGTTCACTTATACTAGTTGAACTAGTACTAGTTGCAGTTGTTTCATTACAATCCCCTGAAGAGCAACTTAGAGCTAAAACATTTTTTTTTTCGTCTTCCTCACCTTCATTGTAAGGTAAAAAGTTAGTAGTGGAACCTCCATCTCCATCTTCATTTGAAAGAGGATGATAATTCACTACACTAAAGCTAGTTACCATTGCTTTGCTCTGTTTAGGACATTCTTTATGAGCAGTACATACTTTTTCAGGTTTGGCATCGTCCTCCGTGGATACAGCTGTATTTATTACAAGTCGTTTATTTGTTGCCTGTCCTGATGAAACCTCGCCTTTATTATAAATACCATTGTTGAAAGTGCCAGTGGATGTTTCATTATCTCGTTCAGTATTCTTTACTGGTAAATCACTGAAAAAGGAAAAATTTCAATTAACAATAAGTAACTCTTATACTGGGTTTTTAATATATTGCGCATCTTTAAAGCAAAACCCAAAATGTGCAACGTAAATAAATTCAAGTGCTTGAAAAAGTTTTTTCAACTTAAAATAAAACTTTGTTGTTCATTATTTTGAGAAATTAGAAATTTCCGTAATTCCAAATTACGACGAATTTTTGTTTTTATTCCTTGAAGTGACAGCAACTGTCCCAACCATATCTTTGAGAAAATAAAATATTAGCTAGCAATAAGTGGTAAGAAACTCAAACTTAAATCAATTAAAATTATTGATTTAACTTAGAAAATTGTAACTACGAAACGATGTAGAAAAAATTACTTTTTTAAAAATAAAAGTCGTATATACATTAAATATTTTATTAAGACATCAATTAACAATAAGATTGTACAAGCTTCGGCTGTTAAGTAATTGTTTGTCTGTGGTAAATGTATAAAAAGGTTTTTTATTTTCTATTTAAGCTTTCCTACAAATATACCACCGACAATGCTATTTTAATGTGATCAACAATTACGATTGTTTACAAAACTGACATTGTCAATACATATTAACGTCTGCTATCGTATCATAAATGCAGAGTTTTCGCTTTATAATAAACATAACTACGCTAATAAAACTTTTTTGGGAAGTTAACTACTAGTCATTCACAAAATCGATAAAACTTCGCATAAATCCAGTTTCGTGACATATAAATGTGAAATAAAACGCATCAGTCATTGCAACAATACTACTCGGGGGAAAATGTGTCCACCGTTAAAAAACATGCAAGAACACAAAAATTTGTTAATTACAGGTGTTCAGTGTTATTACGAAATTTAAATGAACAGTAACATTGATTGCTTCAACAATTTTTTCTGTAGCTGTTTACCAAAAGGAAGCCATACTAATAAGTATAAATTACTCTTAAATAACATTAACCTTAACCAAATAAACCAAATTTGATGATTCTTTTTCTGTTCTTTGTTTATATTACAGGCAAAATATGACTAACAAGGTATTTGCAAATATATACAAGAACAATAATTTAAAACTTTTATTACTTATAAGTCAACATTTTTTACTTTCTTTTCAGTCCACTGCATGTTTGATAACTACACGCAGAAAATAAAATTTTGCAGAAACAACTGCTTTGATAATGTTATCAAATGGCAGATGTTTAGCAAAATTACTCCCACTCTATACAGATTCCACTTCACAATTTCAAAATAAGAGCAACGTTTTATTATTATTCAGTCTCCTGTTAAATATAACAAAAAACTAAAAAGAAACAATATGTTTTTCTGTACAAAAAATATGCAGTTTGTGTAAATATAAGTTTCTTAAATGACTCTCACGTTACATGCATTACAAAAATGAGCATAGTTTTGCTTAAAGACGTGCTTAATAAGATGTACTTGAAATGTTTATTATACAAAGCTACAAAATTTTCCGAATTCATCTTCCCTTGAAATAAATAGTTATGCTGTCGATTCAGCTACAAAAGTATAAATTTGAAAGCAATCTATTCTCATGATTATTGTTAACAAACGGAGACTTTTCCGTGGGGGCTGATAATTGCCGTAGTAGATATACAAGGAGCTATTTAGCGAATTTATTGTTCTTAAAATTTACCAGCGAGTGTTGGAGTTCCTAATATGAAGTATATGCTTCATATTGATGACTAGGTTACTTTCAAAAATTACAATAAAACGTCATGTTCGAACGCACCGTAAATAACGAAAATACACTAAATATGATCACAAAATATTTACATTAGGCTCCGATAAATCCTATAAACAAAATGTTATTATTGTGTTGTCTGATACATGCAAAATAAATTTCATACTGACAACTAGCTGGTAAAAACAATTATCTATCGAGTCTATTAGTTACAAACTTGTTGTGCGTATCAAATTTATTTAAAAGAAATAGTACATTCAGAGATCCCTACACATGTACCTCTAAATATTCTTCAAATAGCCTAATAACACCCATGGATTCAATTATTAGGTATTATTCATATTTACAAATATCTACAAGTGTTCAAATAAAAAAGCCAACGTTATTCCAATACGCAATTGTGCAAAAAATAATTTAAAATTAAGGATTAAATACGATACAATGTTCAAGATGACCGAACTGGAAAGAAATCACCGTGCACGTCAATACAATATTATTATTAATATTATTATCAAAGTATTACAATTGTACTGAACTCATATGTACAGAAAACTTTGGCTTAAAACGCCAATTGACCAATGAAGATGTGCAAATAATACGAACGATTTGATACCGATTACAACTATGACACAGCCTTCTTCATTTCGACTTTTCAACTGCACCACCATCTGACAAATCAAAATTCAACTAATCTTCACCAACTTTCGCCAGCGTTATCGACAAATTTAAACTGCCTCCAATCAATATTTCATCGGCTTTATAGGGAATAACCAGCACGAAGTGCCTTCTCGATTATTCTCTTAAGATTCTCTTTCTTTTTTTACTTTATATTCCTCCCCCAATATTGTTGCAATTTCTCCTTGCATAAAAGCCCATGGAACATTCGAGTTTGCCAAAGGACATTTTTCGCCGCTCGGGCAGTAAACCTGAAACAAGTACATTCTTTAACTTATAACTTACAACATAAAACATAATAAGACTATAGATATGCAAGGTGTCCCAAAATTCCGTGAACTTACAACAGCCACAGGTTCCTGAAATTATAATAAGTTTTGGACGAAAAATATGTTCAATACGCCTATGTTTGACAATATCCAACTTTTTGTGTTTGATTGTGATATTTCAAAATTAGCTGTCTTGTAATCACTAAGTTTTTTCTATAAATCGCACGAACAGAGTGATACATATTTATAGGTCTTTAGCGCTAAGAACGTTCATATGGTTAAGTCAGCGATTCTAGTGTTCTGTAGTGATGTGTTCATAGGCAGAAAAAGAAACCAACAGTATATAACTATGAATGGTGGGGGTAGCTTTGCTCTATTGATATATACATCAAAAATTGATACCTCCAAAGAAATGGCCACGTAGAAAATTTTATTCGCACTAAGCGTCATCGAGTAATTTCAAAAAAACTACTTTTATCAATTTTATGTTGTCGGAAGTCATCGATAGAGTAATTTTTTTCTGCAAAACTGTTGCAGATATGACTTTTTATTACGTGACAAAAAAGTAAGATATACCTTCCCAAAAAGATCATTAATGTACTCATTTAACCTTCCAAAAAGGTTCTGAACAATTGTATCTATGGGTAGGAGAAATTTCACCCTTGCCGTATTTTAAGAAAACGGATGTGAAATGTGCACTAGAAATTAACACTTTCAATGCCATTATCCACATGCCAAATTTTATTGAAATCGTGCCAAGCGCTTTTGAGTAATCAAAATTTTTCTTTTAAACCTTTGACACCCTTTCACCCTGTGGTTACTCTATATCCATGAAATGTTGATACACCCTGCATAACAGTTTACAAATTTCAAACCCGACAAAGCGTATAATGCCGTGGAAACTATACCACCCTCTTTCTTATTAAACCACACACTATATCACTAGCCAATAAAAATACTAACCTCTGAGCCTGCTCCTTGTCTCTTAATGCTATCTCGACTGCAAGGGAAACAAAATTTGTGATGAGGAACAGAAGGACATTGTACAAAATGGGTGTCCTCAAGCCGTTCCTGACACAGAGTACATTTTAATGTTGCTGTGGGTGGTGCACTAGGGGCAAGTGTCTCATTAGTTGTTGGTACTATTTCTCCAGGTGCTCCCATTGTTGCAGCACCACCTTCTGTTGAAGTAACTGTTGTGGACGACACATGTCTCGAACCCGATGACCGTCGTCCACTAGAACCCGCTTTAATGAAAAACAATTCATAGTTAATATAAGCCTATGAGCGCAACTACAAAGCATTAATGTAATACAGGAAACACCACAAAAATGTTCTTTCAACACAAAACGTTCGGAACTTCTCTTAACTACCTGTGGAATTGGGAGAATGCTGGGAGCCTCTTGATGCTGATCTGGGCACTGCATTTCCAGGGGGACTTCCTCCAGTTGACCTTGGACTACCTGGAGGTAAATTATCAGCAACAGACATCAAAGCAGCCATTGGACTTTGACCAGATCCTGAATTTTGTTGATTTGGCTGCGAACTGGCAGCTGTACTGCCATCTTGAGGAGAAGCAGTTCTATTATTTAAAGGAGAATTGGCTGCTGCAGCTGTTCCACCAGCTACTGAAACTGGAGTTATATAACCTAGAATGTGGTTAAAATGGTATCAAATATTAGCATGCATTTCTCAAATAATCAGCACTCGCTTAAATTTCCTTAATCAGAACAGCATAGCAGGCACGGCATTAAAATGGGATATTGTACTTTTTTTAAATGCCTTCTTAAATATTATTGTGAAGTGAAGGTATGAATCTTAAATTCGAGTTCGGGTTTGTTTCGCCAGGAACACTAGACTACTCTATAAACTTCTAACCCAATTAGTACCAAACGACATGGCCTGGAGGTTAAAACCGTTGCGTAATTTTCGGGAGGTCGACGGCTCGATTTCGAGTCCATCTGCCCTGCTCCAAATTTTTCTGTGGCTTCAAATGCTAGAGCAATATTCCACAATCTTTCATTCTCCTTTGTTTTCATTTCGGCCATCTCATCTTTCTAACCCCAACTGCCACTACCCATTCCCACGATTCCTAAAAGGAGACCAAAAAGGCCCTTCCGTCCTAGTCCGGAGAAATTAGCGACCCACCAGCCTTAGTAACTGGTGGGAATGAAACACCCAAAGGTTTTTACCTATTTTGTATAGATGTTTTGTATTAAATTAAAAGTAGGTACTACAATAATCATTATACTCAAATCATTATTTACTAAGACTACATTTTAAAGCCAAATGAAACCGAATCATCATTTTCTTAAGCTGTGTTGAGCTGGAAGCGAGACCCTCACCATGAAGTAAACAGTGCAACACAATACAGTTGTGTCACATGACCTCGATAAACGATGCGTGACGTACTTACGTCGTGACAATTTTAGCGCTCGGACATTATCGTAAACTTTCGGTATTATTCGAACCTTGTCATGAAAAATGTGACCGACTAGACAAGATTTCTGGTGTTACGTGTTTTTGTTTAACAACGGAAATGACGTCACGCGCAGCTGTCTTGATACCGCCGTATATCGCTGTAAACGTTGGTTTTTTTAATAAACATAAAAGCGTTATGATAGGATGAGAACTAACAGTATTGAATCACATTATTACACTTATTTGAATCAACAATTAAGCAAAATTATGTATCTATACATTGTACGATAATTAACTGTTTTACAATAGAACACTTTTAGTTCTGTTTATAGATACCTACATGCATATATGCAGCACAAATAACAGATGAAGTCGTGGAAGTCAAACAACAAATAATAATTACCTAAAACATACATGTCTACGGTTGACTTCAAAAAATAACTATCCTAATTTCTTCCTTGTTAACATTCAGTTCCTGCTACTCGATATTACCATGACCTACGACAGTTTACTTCTCAAACCTTGCTGTGTAACGGCATAGCAACAACTGCATTATAAATAAACCAACAGACGTACAAACAAAGTAAATAACAAAAAACATTTTGTTTCAGTCATAAACTTGGGAATGCAAAACTAATCGGTAAATAGGCAGCACTATGAAACCCCATTGTTTAAAGCGATTCAATTAATTGCTCTTTGTTTTCTAGAGCCAAATACCGAATCAGAATAAGCCATTAATGCTTTATCAGAGAAATATTTCCCCCACATGCAATGACTCATGGTTATAAATAATACTTTAAGAGAATGGACTTTTCTTAACATCCTCCACGTTCGGAAGTGTAGCTAAAATGTTCCCAATAAATATGTAAAACTTTTCGTAAGAAATTTCTATGTCAGTGAAAATGCAGAAGTAACGGTTCTTCTAATTAAGAAATCAGCTTATTAACAGCTAAACTTATTCTACCTTACACACGCATAAGCAGCAGCTGACCCAAGTCTTAAAAGACGATTATGACGTAGTCGACGAACCAGCACAAAAATAAATAGAAAAACCGGTTTTTGGAGGCTAACTGAGTTCATTATAAGTTCAGTTTTAAAAGTGCCCCGCATCACTCAAATAACAAATACTACTCCACCATGTATTGGTACACCACAAAAAAAAAAACAACTAAAAATGAAACTTCTCAAGTTCAGTTCATTTTTTATCAATAATTTAGGTATGAAAATTTAAGCGAGGCTTAGCAATTCATCATATGTAAAATCCTTACCATTGGGTTTAAAAGCGGTAGCAGTATCAAAAGAAGGAGTTCTCACAGGATGCTTCTCTTGCTTGAATTGTCTCTCTGCAGCTACAGCGAACGGCTGAGCCAAAGAGACTGCAGGTAAAGAATCTCCCCTCGTAAGAGGTGGTCTAACACTGTTATTGTGTTCTTCAACCGACATCATACGCTTTGCTCCGTTAAGATCACCGTTAGCATGATGCCCATGGTGATCGTCGTCGTCATTGCCTGACAAACCGCGTTTCAAGCTTTGCTGAGGTATGGAAGTAGGTCTTCCGTTCGCCGTGTGATGATGTTGAAGAGGATGATGTGCAGCAACAGCTAGATGCGCTGCAGCTGGCAGTCTAACCGTTGCTCGCCCAACCATAGCTTCGTGATCGGCGGTTGCTTCCTGTAGCTGACGATTCATGGAGCCGGAGCCTCTTGGCGGAGGAGCAGGTTGAGCAGCTTGATATTCCGCCAACATTCCAGTTCGGCCATGATGAAGGCTAAATGTATTCGAATGGTGGGTAGCGGCTGTTTGTTGTCGACCGCTTGCTGTCACCACGTCGCCATTTTGGTGATCGTGTCCAGCCGAGCGGTGACTCTTAGAGCTATGATTTGCTCTCTGCTCCTGAAATCCATGAGCTCGTTTCATTTGTCTGGCATTTTCCAACACGATTTCAATTCGATCGGCCCCTTCGTAATTAACACAACCACGACAAACCGCTTCAGAAAAGTCGTGAACCATAGCCCACGGCATACGAGGTAAATCGCACAAATAGCAATGTTGCCGTTTGGCTTGCTGCATCTGCATAACCGACATGTCCATTACTTTTAGTTCAAGAACAATAGCAACGAAAACAATATAACTAAACTAACCGCAATTATTTAAAAAGTATTTCCATCGCACATACTTCAACGATCACTGTTATTCACTAAATTGTTCACACCCAGTTCCTACTCTCGCCTCACCGTAACTGAACCCCAAACACGACACAACGTTTCTCAGCAGCGGGCGTGGTGCGGTGAGGGGCTCTGTGTAATAATCGTTATCGTCTGTGACGTCATGCTACCAGGCAAGCCAATAGTATCCGGGCTACGTCACGTATTGCGCGCGCTGCTCCAGACAAACTACATCCAGTGAACATGATGAAATACTCGAACCGTTAATTTATTGTTGATGAGACTTGTTTTAAATTTATTTTACGATTAGAAACACTCGTGCACATACTTTCATATTAAATGACTAATTAAACTTCGCAAAGAAAAATACAAGTGATTTTCCTAGTATCCTGAAATTACTAGGTACTTACCATTAATAAGAATAAAATGAACTGGATATGTAGGTGCATCAAATATAAAGAACAAAATGTTCCTATTCTCATTATAAAAAAAAGCTACATTTTGATATATACCTATAGATGCTAGGTATACCTTCAATATCATAATTATAGTAGCTCAAAGCGGTTAGTGTAAAGATTGGTCAAATGTGATCAAACCGTGAAATGTAACTATTTCTTTAGCAGAGAGTAGAGACAGGTTTAACATTATTGGAAAAACGTAGGTATGCACCTATCACTTCTGACTTTAAAATTGATTTTAAATGTAAATATCAACTATCAGCCACGCATGTATACCTACTTGGTATACCCAGGTAGGTGCATCGGTGTAGATAAACCGTAAATAAACAATTCCTTTTGCATGATTATGATGACGTATTTAAACGGTTCCTCGGGAGAAGAATCCCGTCCTGGCCTTGACACATAAAGCCTTTCGCATAAAACAATACCTTTTGGTAAAAAACTCATTGTTTCTAAATGCAATTGTGATTATAGGCTTATCTCATTTAGCGCCCATTTAACCTAGTGTTGCCTAATATAGTAGAAAAGTGAGTGCATTGAACGCTTTCTTAAATCAATACTCGTCTACGGTTGGGCAAAATAATTGCATAACTGTCAAGTATATTTGCGCATGCGAGCTCCACTTTAAAGAGGAGCATCCAAAATGAAAATCTATATATACGTAAGTGTACTGTACCTAATACCTACATATGTTTGGATATGTAACTACCTATGATTCTGTCCAGGAACATTGATCGTCACACAAAGAGTTTTAACGTAAGAATATAAGAAAAACTAACCAAAGTGTTGCAAAGATCAATTAAGGCAGAGGTCGAGATTAAAATAAAACTTAAATGTTTATCGTACTCATACGTGTGAAGGTGCGAAAATTTAAATCTTCATTTTGCTAGGTACTAAGATTTTAGTACAATTCCAGTCGTGTGTTGAATTAAAATCCCAAAAATGACCATTACCAACAATTTGCGTGTGCTTAACCCGTTGTAAAAACTAGAATTAGTAAAAAAGAGAATGGGTAATTTTCGAGTTCCAGGGATTAATTGACAATATAAGCTTTATGCTACCATTACCCACAGAACCGAAACCTGAGGAGCTTGATTTATAATTTAATGTTACTGAAAAATCCAGTCCTTGCTTATGTCTTGATTTAATAGGGTTACTTAACATCATGTTATTAGGATTTCACATTTCACCAGATTAACATACACCCCAGTTTGCCCCTGTTGGGGTCTGCAATTCGTACCATTTAATCATCTGAGAAAGGCATCGATTTATCTATTAAAAAATTTCTTTTTACAGCAGCTTTCTTCGTTATAAATTAAAGCAAGTAGGTAGGTACCTCCTTACTCGAAATTTAAATATAGGTTCATAGGTACCTACCTAATTATAATGTATATTCTCATAGTCAGTTCATTTGGCTAAGAAAATCATGAAAGGCTTACGATTTCTCCCAAAGATTACGGAACCTTGAATTTAGGAATGCAGTTCAACAACAAATAAACCAGTATTTTGCCGCTATTTGGCGTCTGAGTAAGTAAATAGCGGATGTTAAGCTGAATCTAAAATAAACGTTAAAACCAAGAGCTAACCAGAAGACAGTTACCTATCAAATAACGTTACTTTAGACGATTATAGCACATACTAGTTTACTCAAACAAGAATTTTTTGATACAATACCTACCTACTAGATAAATGAACGGTTTGTTTTTAATATTTTTTACTCCAGATAATATGATCTCTCAAACTGCTGAACTAGGATCGTAACAATTTAAATGGGTGGACGATGGGTGCCTATGTGAATATCGACTGAGCAATTTAAACAAAAATACCTATACATACGTAAATTACATTTATACGTTTTTCTAAACAAACTTATAAATTCAACTGAATTCTGTTCAACCTTTGAAAACCTAGGTACTACAGTATTCGCAAAACAGATTTGTGGAACCGTTGTTCCTTTTTTGAAAACAGCCTATTTATCTTTGTGCAATCATATTTTTTCTGAAAAATATTGGCTTCTTTGAAATTCAGATGTTCGATACGTAATTATATTAGAAAGCATGTTCGTGTTCACACTGCAGAACAACAGACAACGTCGCAGAGGATTTCACTCGCAATGTTGCCATTTCGTCTTTGTATCTGCGATTTTCTGACGTAACGCACACGTAACAACAAGGACACACATGTACACAGACGTGTTTGTGCTTCAGACTGTACAGCTCAAGTTTGGCCTGCTGAAAGTCTTCAGTTTGTACGCAAAAGCAGCAGCAGTACAACAGCGACACGACACTGCTTTGTGAATGTAGGACCGACCGGAAAGTTGGCTGGAGACCAGGCTGGGTTGTGTATCTGTGACGTCACACGATCAATGTGCTCTCCGCAAGTGAAAGCACGCGTTCCCACTCTTCCCTCCTGTTCCCCTCGCGGTCGTGGATTCCTGTTTTCGGTCTGCAACTACGACAACGACGAGTCAACTTGGGAGTTGGGAGCTTGCAACAGCGGTTCTTGTCGTTCTTATTATTATGCTACGCGCTCAGAGCCAAGCATGCAATTCTCTTTTTATATCGGTCGATCGTCGGTCGTCAGAATAGCTAGTCCATTTCAACGTTGCCGAATTAGCATTATATAATACAATTTCTGCAGTATTTAATTTTAATTACGAACGGCACGTGTGAAATGAAGGAAAGATCTGAATTTTTGAACGGATTGGTTATCCAAACGTAAACGCTGAAAAAGAGAAAATAAACAAGTTATACCTAGACAGATTTCATTATAACCTACTTTTATCTGCATTTGTGTGAAAAAGTAGCCACATAACAAGTACCTACTTATGATTTACTATTTATTTACCTGCCAATAAGAATAAGTACCGATAACTTATTCTTTAATATTGGATTTTCTCAATTTTGTTCTTTTTCCATTTCAGTTTTTCTACAGTTAAATAAATTATTTACAATTGTAAAGAATTTTGTAGTATTTATTCTATTTATTGCACAGGCATTTATTTTATAGTTATTTATATAGCACTATATTATTACTGCTTATTTACTTGCCACTATATTTATATGGTATTCGCCTGTAATTCGCATTGTTTATCTTATTGCGATCAGCTGTCCAAATACAAAATAATTCCGGTTGTCACCTAGCGGCCTATTTATATTGCTATCGAATTATCTGGAAAAGCCTTCATTCTTCTGGAGAATTTGGGAACAACAAGGCTGCTGACT